AAGACCTCAGTAAATCGCACGTTGTATGATCAGTCGATTTTTCATAAATAAAATTTGTAAATTTATGTTCTTTAGTCTAAAAAATTTTATGAAAGACAAATCATTTATAAAGTACACAAAAGAAATTGAGAAAACTACTTATTTTTTCATAGAAAAAAATAAAAAGTTTAAGATGAAAACTTAAACCTCAACTACAAAATGTGAAAAAGAAGTAAAAAAAAAAGTATCAGCCAAACACTTTGATATCCTTTTTCTTAATCATTTCTGAAAGCTACTGTGAAGATATATCATAACTTTTTGTCTCATCATTGTCAGTGATCATTGTTATCATTGTCAGCAGTATAATCGTATATCTTTGTCTTCAATTTCTCCATTCCTAGACTCCTACTCCTACACAGGGTTCTATGATCTGAAATACTTGAAAACTTCAAATCATTATTTTGTCTGCCTTTCTTTATTTAACTACTATTCAAGCAAACATTCACTGTAGTAGTTATCAAGTAAACATCCTTTTACCTAAGTCATAAATTACTGCTTCCACCATTTTACCAGTTATTCAACACTTGAAAGTGGCAGAATCTTTGGAACAAATATTTAAATCTCAAATTACACTTCACCTGTGCCCTTAAAAAAAATTGATTTTTTCAGCCCACTCTAATATAGGATAGCCTTCCAGACTTAGCAATGTTTTTTAACTAACTCCCACTAAAGACGTGTCAAAGAAAAAAACCTTAGATTCTTTGAATTAACAAGCCCCTTCTGTTCTCAAACTAAAAAAATTTCTACTTCAGAAACATAAAAAAACTTCAAGCTTTCTATAGTTTTTTGTAACACACATGAGAATAATTTTTCAAATGGATTTTTTTATAGTTCTGAGTTATGAAGTCCTATCTAACCAATTTACTTTAAACCCCTAAATTGAAATTTTAAGCACTCGTAAAAAAAGAGTGAATACAGTATTCCAGGTTGACAAAAAATGATTCTTTCAACAATCTACCTCTCCGTAATGTATTTGAAATTCTAGGGAAAAAAGTAAAGCCAGCCTTTAAAAACAGGCAAAGAGCTAAGAATTGAATGTTTTAGATCAACAATCCTGGGTAGCCGAGATGCAAAGACATAATACAAAATTGACTGCACAAGTACTTGAAAAATCTGGTGCAGCAGAACCTCCAGAGCTCAGACACTTTCAAAAAAAAACCTTTGTTTCAGTGATGAGCAAAGTCAATAAAGCCCAGTAGAACATTTGAATCTCTCGTTAAAAAAGTGATGTAAAAGAAAAAATTACGTTCCTTCAACTCTGGAATATCACACCTTCCTAGTAGGACAAAATACAGCTTTTTTTAGGATTTGACTGAGTAATAATGAACAATTTTCGTTAGCAGCAAAAGCAACATAACAAAACATGACCACTATTGTTACACTTTTCCTTACTCCGTCTTAAAGAGACTTTTGATACTTCAAACAAAATACACCGTAAACAACAAATAAATAATTAATAAACGAGATTAATAAAAAAAAAGAAAAATGTAAAAGGAGCTCAATTTATAACCCGCTTAAGTCACCAAACAGAAATAAGAAAAAAAAA